TGAATACGTTGAGCATTTGATCAAATTATAAAATGATCCTTAACACCTCTAATCAGTTAAGAATTCATTTTAAATATCAAATCTACTCAATATTCTTGATAACAAATTTAATTTTATCTCAAATAATTATCGAGATAACTTGATGAGATACTTAATTGAAACATATCCATTTTCAAAAAATATAAACACAGACGAAATGTTCTCTGAAGAATAAAGCTTTAATATTTTGAGGAGTCTAGAAACAAATTATATAAAAGAGTTTGTTAAAATAGTAAAAAAGAAATAGAATCTAAATGAAAACGGATAAAATTTTGATAATAGTTAAACATACAGAGTTTAATAAAAAATACTAGAATCATTTATTTTTGAAAAACCTGAATTGGAAAATACCTTAAAACAATTTCCTATCTTTGATTTATTATTATTGTTAAAAGAGAAGAGTATCTTGAATGAATTATAATTTTAGAAAAGCAATTTAAATGATGGAAACTAGCGAATAGAAATAGTTAAAAATATGAATAATTAATTTGAAATTTCTTTAAATGAAACTAACTACTAAGGGAGTTATAAAGGTAAAGATACTAATTGCATTTCTTAGATATTGGAAAGAGATAAAAAATACATATTTAGGATTTAATTTGAAAAGAGAAATGATCCTAATTATTTTATGATAGGATTAATGAAAAATGAGAATTTCAATAGAGATTATGGATATAATGATAAAATGAGCTACTATTTAGGATTAGAAAATAATAAGATGAAATACAATGGAGGTCAGGGAATTGAAAAATTTGTAAAAGGAGATAGGAAATAATTGTTAGATGAAAATAGTACTTTAGAGTTGAGAGTTTGGCTAGAAGGAAAGTAAGTTGAGGTATTAAATTACCCAGATTATTCCTATAAAGTTGAAATTTAAGATGAATATAAATAAAATTTATCTTAAAAAGATCTATGTTTGTATTTCTATTTATACGGGCACTAAGATAAATATATCTTAAAAGAAGCATTAATAGTTGAGTAATTTTGAAAATTAAAGTATGGAAGAAATTCAAAATAATAATATTTGAATGAATTTGTTTAAAAATTGAAATGTAGAGGTTAGAATAATAATTATTAATAATAAATACAATGTAGTAAAAAAATAACATGCATAATATATTATATATTTTATTGGTCCAGTAAAATGAGTGTAAAACAAATTTGCTATTAGATCTGTTTTAATTTTTTTGTTCGTTATTTTTCTTCGTAAGTTTTTTTACAAATAAATATTTCGTTGGAAATGCAATTAAAAATCTAAAAAAATATATATTATAATATTATTAAAAAAAATTTATTTGATTAAATATTAATATATTAAGCAAAATAAAATTTAATAATATTTATGATTTAATAAAATGAATATACTTACTTTTTGTTTAATTTATTTTAAAAGGTTTAAAAAAAATTTTTTTTGTCAGAATTAAATGGATTTATTTACAGAATTAGATTCTATTCATTTTTGAATTTTTCTAAATTTTACTTTAATATTTAAAATAATCTCAATAACAAAAAATATTTTTAATACATTTTTTGTATTATCTCTATTCAAGATTCTTATATTTTTTATAAGTTCTTATTTTAAATTGTAAATTAAATATTCTAATACCTTTATTTATTTATTTATTTACTTATATTTTTTTTGCTTTCTATGATAAAATTTCATTCTTCTGATTAATCAAAACATCTCAAATATTTAAGACTTTAGGTTTTGTAGTAAATAATATATCTAAGCATATTCAATCAATCAAATAAAATGGACTAATTAGCTCCAAATAGTATTCCTATTCAATAAAATTGTATCATTCATCCTCAAAATAAACTTGCCTTTATCTAAGTTAATGAAATCCCATCCCTTCCTAACTCTAACATATTCTAATGTGTTGATTGCTTCGAATAAGATTTACAATTTAGAGGTGCCAATTACATGCTCATCTAAAAAATTATTGAAAATTCAGATTCTGATTTTCATTATAAATGGCCACCTCTCAATGATTAGCAGATTGTTCAGAATATTCATTTGAAGGCTAAGAATCTCAATTCAACATAAAGCGTCCTCAATTAAATCAATTCTTACTTCACTTAGCTAAAAGATGAAATCATTAAAAAAATCGATGTCGCTTAGAAAAAAGCAATCAATCAAGCTCTCGAAATGCCTTTTGGCAAAGAGTAAATTTTGAAAAGGTATCAAGAAATATCTTAAATTCAAAATTTAAAATCACTGCTCATGCAAGACTAGAATAAGTCTTTTGCGCTCTACCAAAAATCGTGTAAAGACTTCATTTAGTAAGTATAGTTAAATAAAGCTAAAAATACGCAGCTGCTTTAAGAGTTACTCAATCAATGTGACAAAATTCAACAATTAGTGGATTTTGACAGATTAAACAAAAGCAAAATATTTTTATTAGAATTTTTAGATTAGCTTAACTTTTTTGAAGATTAAACATAAAGTCAAGTCAAGTCTGATAATAACTTAAATAATAATATATTACCATAACAAGATAATAATAAAATAGATTAATTAATGAAATTAATTTCTAACAAAACTAATTATTGTAGTGAAGAGTTTTTGAATCAAATTAGACAATAAATGTAAAAACTAAGTCTCTTTTTTGAATAAATTTCATTTGACAAAATGAATCAAGAAGGTAAAAAAGCTATCAAATTTTCAGAATTAAATGATGAGAAAATAAACAGTGTAAATGAATATGTTGAGCATTTGATCAAATTACAAGATGATCCTTAACACCTCTAATCAGTTAAGAATTCATTTTAAATATCAAATCTACTCAATGTTCTTGATAACAAATTCAATTTTATCTCAAATAATTATCGAGATAACTTGATGAGATACTTAATTGAAACATATCCATTTTCAAAAAATATAAACACAGATGAAATGTTCTCTGAAGAATAAAGCTTTAATATTTTGAGGAGTCTAGAAACAAATTATATAAAAGAGTTTGTTAAAATAGTAAAAAAGAAATAGAATCTAAATGAAAACCAATAAAACTTTGATAATAGTTAAACATACAGAGTTCAATAAACAATACTAGAATCATTTAGTTTTGAAAAACCTGAATTGGAAAATACCTTAAAACAATTTCCTATCTTTGATTTATTATTGTTAAAAGGGAAGAATATCTTGAATCAACTATAATTTTAGAAAAGCAATTTTTAAGATGGAAACTAGCGAATAGAAATAGTTAAAAATATGAATAATTAATTTGAAATTTCTTTAAATTAAACTAACTACTAAGGGAGTTATAAAAGTAATTCTACTAATTGCATTTCTTAGATACTGGAAAGAGATAAAAAATATATATTTAGAATTTAATTTCAAAAGGGAAATA